AATGTCACTAAACCTACACCAGCCGAAGACCCTGGGCCACAGAGCCAATTAAATTCATTTTTAGTGTGTTTTTGTTCATGTGTGTGTGTGTATGTGTGTGTGTGTGTGAGAGAGAGAGAGAGAGCCCATGTGTGTATACATGCACACACATACATGGGCATGCCTGGGTTGTGGTGACAGATACATGTAGACCTGGGGTGACTTAAGGGTGGGCACATACATGCCTTGGTGTGCAGGTAGAAGTCAGAGCAGTTTTGGGGAACTGGTACTATTTTGAGGGAGGGGGGTCTCTCTTGTTTCTGCTTTTGAATGGCTGCCCCCATCTTGCCATAGGCGAGCAATTACAGATGTAGACCAGTTCATCTGACCATTTGTTTTGTTTTTCAACACAGGGTTTCTTTGTGTAACTGCTCTGGCTATCCTGGAACTAGCTCTGTAGACCAGATTGGCCTCGAACTCACAGAGATCCACTTGCCTGTCTCCCGAGTGCTGGGATTAAAGGCATGTGCCACCACAGCCTGGCTTTCATCTAATTATTTTTAAAGATTTGTTTTGCAAATGCAAACCCACAGGCAAACATTAGGCAGAGTTTGGGGAATCCTGTAGAAAATGGGGAGAAAGGATTATAGAAGCCAGAGGGGTCACAGACACAAGAAAACTTACAGAATCAGCTAACAAAAGCTCACGGGAGCCGGGTGGTGGTGGCGCACGCCTTTAATCCCAGCACTCAGGAGGCAGAGACCAGCCTGGTCTACAAGAGCTAGTTCCAGGACAGGCTCCAAAACCACAGAGAAACCTGTCTCGAAAAACCACAAAAAAACAAACAAAAAAAAAAGCTCACGAGAATTCACAGAGACTGAACAGACAACCAGGGAGCCTGCATGGAACTGACCCAGGCATTCTGCATATATGTGACAGTTATGTAGATTGGTCTTCTTGTGGGACTCCTAACAGTGGGGACAAGTGTTGTCTCTGACTCTTTTTGCTGGTTTCTGGGCCCCTATTCCTCATACTGAGTCACCTTGCCAAGCTTTAATGAAAGGGGAGGTGCTTAGTCTTACTGCAACTTGATATGCCATGTTCTGTTGATATCCAAGCAAGGCCTGTCCTCTTCTGAACAGAAATGGAAGAGGAATGGATGGGCGGGGGGTGTATGGGGGAGGGACTAGGAGGAGGGAAGGAAGGCTACCTGCAGCTGGGGTGTAAAATAAATAAATATAAATGTATTTTTAAAAGATTTGTTCTATTTCTACTTTATGTATATGAGTGTGTGATCTACATGTGTACTGCATGCATGCCTGATACTACTGGGGTCAGCAGAGGTGCGGGGTCTCCTGGAGCTAGAGTTTATGTGAATGTTGGGACCTGATCCTGGGTCTTCTACATGAGCAGCAATGCTCTCAACAGCTGAGCTATCTCTCCAGCCTTCTCTGACTTTTTAGATGAGTTTCAGGGATCAAAGAGGGGTCACCAGGCTGGTGGCAGCAAATGCTTTTCACTTGCTGAGCCATCTCCTTGGCCATTGTTTTAAAATAAGAAACGTGTGTGTGTGTGTGTGTGTGTGTGTGTGTGTGTGTGTGTCTCCCATGTGTACCGGTACCCACGGAGGGCGGAAGAGGGCTTCAGATCCACTGGAACTAGAATTACAGGTAGCTGTGAATTACCTGATGTGGGCGCTGGGAACCGAACTTGGGTCTTCTGAAACAGCTCCTTTTTTACAGACAGGGTCTTGTGTAGCCTAGGCTGGCCTCAGACTTCTGCTTTTCTGGAGTGCTGGGTACAGGCACGGGCCACTGTGCCAGTTAGTTGCTATGCTAACTTGACACAAGCTAGAGTCCTCTGAGAGAAGGGAGCATCAATTGAGAAAATGCCTCCTTAAGAAAGGGCTGTAGGCAGGCAAGCCTGTAGGGTATTTTCTTAATCAGTGATTGACAGGGAAAGACCCAGCCCATTGTCAGTGAGGCCACCCCTGGCCTGGTGGTCCTAGATTCTATCAGAAGGCGACTGAGCAAGCCTTGTGGAGCAAGCCAGTAGCCACTCCCCCATGGCCTCTGCTCCTGCCTCTAGGTTCTTGCCCTGCGTGAGAGATGTCAAAATATAAGTGGAATTAACCCTTCCCTACTTGCTTTTGGCTAGGTGTTTCATCACAGCAACAGAAACCTATGGCAGTCACCATGCCTGGCTGAGTGTACTGATTGTGCGCATTCTGGCTTATCCCCAGGGCCTTCTCAGTTCCTGCAGCACCTGCCCTCGGCGGAATGATTCCTGGACTTCAGCTGCTTCTTTACACAGTGATTCCTTCTCAGGGTCCTTGCATATTCTCTGAATGTGTGATATTTCATCTGTATTTTAATTAATAAAGCTTGCCTGAAGATTAGAGAGTAGAACAGCCACACTGGTCAGCCATACAGACCAGGCAGTGGTGGTATACACCTTTAGTCCCAGCAGCCACACTAGTTGCCATAGAAACCGGGCAGCACATGCCTTTAATCCCAGCACTAGAGAGGAATATAAGACAGGAGGAGAGAGCTCTCAGTTCAGTCTCATTCTGAGGATTCATGGAGGCAGGCTCACCATTTCGGTCTGAGGTGCAGGTAAGAGCCAGTGGCTGGCTGCTTGCTTTTCTGATCTTCAGATTGAACCCCAATATCTATCTCTGGGTGTTTATTATTTGTGCTACCCCAGTAGGGTGCTGACGGAACTCTACAGTCATGCTATCTCCCTCCACCTCAGCACACCTCCTGCCCTTCCCCACCATCACCCCTAGCTGATGATCGCGTCTACCTTGCTCTCCACCCAAAGAGCTCATGGTCCTGGGGCAGCTGTGGGAGGATGCCCCACGGAACACACCGCCCCAGCTGGCATCTTATGGGTGCTCCATAGGTCAGCTTTCTCCTCTAGGAAGCTCCCCTGAGGAAGCGCTCAGGGCAGGGGTTGCCATCCTAACAGTATCTGAAAGACTCTGGGCACTGAGGGGCACAGAGGGAGCAGTTTTAACAGTCTCAGGAGTGGAGAGGGGGGTGGATATGACGTGAAAGGTTCTTACTTTTCCAAAGGAAAAGGAAGGAAAGGCTTTCTTTGGTCTCGAGGGAAAGACTATATGTTAAAAAAAAACGAGCTATAGCTATAGCCGGGCGGTGGTGGCGCACGCCTTTAATCCCAGCACTCAGGAGGCAGAGGCAGACGGATCTCTGTGAGTTCGAGGCCAACCTGGTCTACAAGAGCTAGTTCCAGGACAGGAACCAAAAGCTACAGAGAAACCCTGTCTCAAAAAAAAAAAAAAAAAAAGACGAGCTATGAAGCTCTATAGCCTCCCAGGGGCGTGGCTTAGTCAGCTGAGGAACACTGAAGAGTGACCCCCCCCCCCCAGAACTACAACCTGCAACTTCAGCACAGGCCCACTTTGTAGTGTGTGATGCTGGAGATGGGACCAGGGCCTATGTATGCTGAACCAGCACTCCACCACTGAACCACACCACAGCCCAGCACAGGAGCTAGTTTAGAAACAGGGTTTTGTGGGTACATTAGTGAAGCTGAGGTCATGTTGGACTAAGACATACCCTAGACCCAATGACTAGTTTCTTTTTAAGAAGGCAGGAGGAAGGCTAAAGAGATGGCTCGGTGCTTAAGAGCACTTACTGTTCCTGTGGAGGACCCAGGTTTGGTTTCCAGCACCCGCACGGCAGCTCACAACCATTGGTAACTCCAGTTCCAGGGGATCAAATGTCTCTTCTGACCTCCATGGGCACTGCACGCATGTGGTGCACCGATATGTACTCAGGTACACACACATACACATAAAAATAAATGTAATGGGTTTTTAATTAAGTGGTATGTCCACATAGCACCTTCATGTCTGAGGCATGCACGCCAGTTAAAGAGGCCTTCTCAAACCTTTGGGTATCCACCCGTCAACATACTGTGTGTTTCCTGCGGGAGAAGATACCTGAATGAAGCCAGACCCAGACCTTGCAGCAGCTGTGCAGTTTTGGTCCAGCTTTTACTTTCCCAGAATTCTCTCCTCCAAAAGTCAATATGCCTCACACAGGCTGCTGGGCCTCTCGCGTGACTGGTCAGTGTGGTGTTCCACACCCAGGTCACTCAAGAAGCTGGAGGAGGTGGATCCTCACAGCCTGCCTTAGAGAACAGTTAGCTGTGCGTGTGCGTTCACGTCCCCAGTCTGCATACATGGACCGCACCTGCTGTACCCACCCCTGACACCCACAATGCTTGGCATGTACTGGACACACGAAGGAGGGAGTTGGAACAAGGGAGGAGGGGGGAATCCTATCCCAAAAGAATCCCTTCATCTTCCTTTCCCTTTCTTTATTCCCTTCTTTCTGTGGTACTGGGGATTAAACGCAGGGCGGTTCCTAACGTGAGGCGCGCGCTCTACCATGGAGCGACACTCCCAAGTGAAGCGCCCTGTTCTTGTCACTCTTTATTTCCAAGGATGAGAGCATGGAGACCAAGCATTTGTTCATGATGATGATGTGTGTGTATGTGTGTGCGTGTGTGTGTGTGCGCGTGAGGGGGAGGGAAGAGGGAAAAGGGCTGAGGGAGAGAGGGAGGGAGGAAAAGGGAAAGAGGGGGAGGGGATTTTTAGCCTGCCCTGTGGAGATAGTCTATTCTACCCACAATTATCTTCATAAAATTTTCAGACAGGCAGCAGAGGCACACACCTTTAATCCCAGTATTTGGGAGGCAGAGGTGGAAGGATCTCTGACTTCTAGATCAGCCCAGTCTACAGAGAGTTTCAGAAAAACCAAGGCAAACAAACAAACAGGAAAATTTTTTTCTACTAGCATGCAGTCTTCTCAGCAGATTCCCCCACCCCCACCCAAGCTTCTCTCACTCAGGTGCTTGGAACTCAGAACAGAAGGAAGCGCTGCACACCTAGTAGAAGACACAAGAGGTCATTTGAAGGGAACCCAAGGTTACTGTACGCTTTCTGCTGAACTACAAAGCCAGCTTCTGCCCAGCTCTGACAAGCGTCTTACCGTACATCTTGCCTTCGTCCGACAGGATGATTTTGCGGCGGCCGCAGGGTGGGTAAATGGCCAATGCCTCCTGGAAGCTTTGCTCAATATCGGGACTCCACACACCCTCTGCATCATTGTCGATGGGCTTGTCCAGTGCCTGGCTGCCCCCAGAGATGCTGCTCCCCTCGGGGGAGTCCGGAGAGCTCCACTCGTTGGAGGTAATGATGCCGGCCTTGCCCTCCAAGGCTCGGCTTGGAGGAGCGCCCGTTGGACCTGTTAGAGCCGAAACAAGACAAAGGTAAGAGGTGGAAGAACTGTAAAGGCTGCAGGACACAGGACGCCCAGAGAGTGCGCCAGTACCAAACCAGTTACTCGGGGAACAAATTAAAAGGTCTACGAGTTCCGGAGTCAGGGAGGCTTGAACTGGTTGTCTCCCTTCAGCAGACCAAGCGTCCAAACGGCCCAATAAGCACAAAAGACCCCTCTAATTATACCTCTAAGAACACACCCAGGACTGGGAAGTAGGGGGACGAAGACACAGTGACAGATTTAATCTGACACCAAATGAACACTAGGCAAAAAGGATCTTAAATATTATGGAGGAGGTGAAACAGTGCAAACACTATGAGAACAGTATGCAAAATCTTCAAAAATTTAAATGAAGGCCAAGGGGTGGAGCCCAACGATAGAGGGTTTGTTGAGCGTGCTTCAGGGTTCTAGCTTCAGCACTACCCATAATAATAATGATGATGATGATGATGATAATTTAAAATTATTAATAATAAACAATAAATTAATAAATAATAATTATTGAATCAACAACAATAATAATGTGATCTACTAGTCCTGCTTCTTGATATATACTCTAAAGAATTAAAAGCAGAAGCTCCAAGAGACATGTTCATGGCCGCACTATTCGCAACAGGCAAAGAATGAAGGGCATTGTGCATTCATCTGTACATGAACACAGAACTTGGTGTGGGTACTATTAGCACTAAAAAGAAGGTAACCCTGCCACAGACTACAACAAGGATGAGGGTTGACAACATTATGTTAAGTAAAGCAAGCCAGTCATAGAGAGAAAAAAGACAGTACGGTTATACACATAGAAGGCAATACATTCTTAGAAATAAGATACAATGAAGGTTGCCAGGGGCAGGGAGAGGGAGAAATGGGGACTTGTCCAACAGATACAGAGTGTCAGGCTGTTGTGCAATAATGTGAACATGTTGCCTCTCTGGAGCCCACACGCGGTGAAAGGTAGATGGTGGGCTGCTGTAGCTCAGTGACAGAGCCCCCACCTAGCAAGGACACGGCCCTGGGTTCAAGCCCTAGGTGCACCAGATAAAATTCCAGAAAATGAAACAAAGCAACAACTAAAGAAAGCAGGGAAACTTCCTCAGCTGATGAAAGATTCTGGAACCATATGTATCTTAAGTAGCATAACTTCAAATAAACACAATACCCAAAACAAACCTTTAAAGCATCCAGGATGAAAATGGACAGATCAGCTACAGCAAAAGAGCCCACAGTGTGGAGATGGAACCCAAGGCCTCTTGCATGCTAAGAAGATGCTGTATTGACCCCAGTCCAGAAAGAAATATTAAACTAATAATGGGTCTCCCCGGCAATACTAAAAGACTCAAGATAATCTATCTCCAAGCTGTTGCAGAGGTCAGCCATCATCTCAGAACTCAAACCCCAGCAGAAGAGTTGGGGGATGGTTCAGTGGGTAAGAACTTGCTGTGTGTGCTGGTGGCCAGGGTTTGGATTCCTAGACACCTATGTTGAAAAGGAAGTGGCCCATGCCTATAATCACAGCGCTCCCACTGGAAGCAAGAGGAAGAGGTAGGACAATCCTTGAAAAAAAAAAAGACAATCCTTGAAACTCGGGAGCCAGGTGGCCTGATGTAAGTACACAGTTGGGACCAAGACACATGACTCAAGCCAGAGAGATGGCTACGTGGGTAACGGCACTTGCTGCATAAGCCAGATGGTCTGAGTTTGGTCCTCAAAACAGCTGGAGGCTGTGGTAAACACCTGTGGTCCCAGCACTCCTACAATGGTTTAGGAGGCAGGGACAGGGAAAAAGCTGCTGTCTGATCTCCAAGTGTATCCCACAGCACCTCTCAGCCTACACTCACACATAATACACAAATGCACACACATACACACACACACACACAAACATGTGCACAAATGGTAAATAAATCTTTAAAAGGAGAGATGGCTAAAATAAAAAATAATACGATTTTTTTTAAAAGGAGTCATGGCTCAGGTTAAGATCACTGGTTCCAAGTCTCAGTACCCACATGGCAGCTGACAACAGTGTGTGACCCAGTTTCAGGGGATTTGATGTTTGCCTCTGGCTTCTACAGTCACTAGGTACCCAGGTAGCACACAGACACACATGCAGGCAAAACACCCATACACACGAAAGTGCAGGCTGCTCTCGCAGAGAAACCCAGTTCAGTTCCCAGCAACTCCACGCCAGGTACTCACAACTGCCTACCTACAACTCCAGCTCCTGGAGATCCAGTGCCTCTGACCTACGTGGATATCTACACTCACCTACATAGACACACACAACTACATATAATTAAAAAAAATAAACGTTTAAAAAAAATGTGCTGAATAGTAGATTTTTGTCAACTTGATACGCGTTGACAAAATACGAGTTGACATCAGAGAAGATGGAACCCCGGCTGAGAAAACGAGTCCATCAGACTGGCCTGTAGGCAAGTCTGTGGGGAATTTTCTTGATTAGTGATTGATGTGGGAAGGCCCACTCCACTGTGGATGGTGCCACCCCCGGGCAGGTGGATCCCTGGGGTGTATAAGAAAGCAGACTGAGCAAGCCGTGTGGAGCAAGCAGAGAAGCAGCCCTCCTCATGGCCCCTGCTTCTGTTCCTGCCTTCTGCCTCCAGGTTCCTGCTTGAGTTCGTGCCCCGACTTCCTTCAATGATGGACTAAAACTGTAAGCTGAGACAAACCCTATCTTCCCCACGTTTCTTCCGTCCGTGGTCTTTATCACAGCAAGACAGGGATAAAGGAGGTATAGGGAAAATACAAAACTGTTACTGACATGAAGAGAAGATAATACACAGAGATTGAGCAAAGTGTCTGGCAGAAACCTGAGGACACCAAAGCTAAGGCCAACAAATGGCTCAGTGGTAAAGAACCCGCCTAGCATGTGAGGCCCTAAATGCCAACCAGCGCTAACAGAAGATATGGATAGCTAATTTAACAGCGAGACCACATTTCTGAAACATAAATTTAGTATATGCACTTGATAAAACCCAAGTCTTTCACCATGGTGTTGGTGACACACACCTTTGATTCCAGCACTCAGTAGGCAGAGGCAGGCAGATCTCTGAGTTCAAAACCAGGCTGGTCTATAGAGAGAGTTCCAGGACAGCAGGGCTATACAAAAAACCCTATCTTGAAAAACAAAAACAATAAAACCTAAGACCTTTCTACAAGAATAACTATTTAATAAATAAATAGTCAAAAGTGATAGAGATGAAAGGGAACTGATTTCTTCAGTCTGAGCAAAGACATCTTTTGAAAACTTACACAAAGAGGACTCTGGCTCAAACAACCGGAACAATAAGTTAAAGATAAGAACAAGGACACTCACCACTTTGAGGACTTCAAACCAGTGAGGGCGGGGCAGAGGCAGGTGATCTCTAAGTTTGAGGCCAGCCTGAGCTACACAGAGAGTTCCAGGACAGCCAACGCTACACACGGAGTTAAAAAGATGTTTAATTTGTGGGAAAAATAACAAGAAAAACACAAATTCAGTGAAATTGTGATTTAAAAAATGTCTACAAGGTTTTTCACAAAACCTTAACAAGCAGATCCTGAGATGACTCTCAAGCTCCCTAACATGGTGGTTAGCTCTGTTTTTTGGTTTTTCTCTTCTGGCTTCATGTCGTAAACGGTGGCCTGCTGTGTGGTGACTTCACTCCTACAGCAAACAATATGTCTTTGTGTAAATCACATTATTGCTCGGGACCTCACCCATACAATCCAGGGACCTGAGTTCTTCCTGTGCAGACAGTGTCTGTGGACCCCATATTTCTCCGCGGCCTCCAAGAACACCCTGTAAATACTCAGTGAGGACAGCGTTCCCACAGTGGTCAATGCCCAGGTGCAGGTGCCAGGGCTAGAGAGCTGATTCAGGTGAGAGCTCTTACTTTACAAGCCCAAGGCTCTGGGTTTCTCGCCCCACCCCCTGCCCTGCGAGGGGTAGTGGGGGTGGTTCCAGTCTGCTACAGGGCTTGCCTCCCGGTCAGTGCTTAGTACCCTGTTTAGTAACCATTGTTCTTAAGCGCCAAGCCTGGAGAGCAAGATCTGAACCCTTGAACAGGCCTGGCAGGTACACATAGCTTAAGCCCTAATGATGAAGATTAATATCTGACTGTGATTAATTAACCTTCTAAGGCATAAGGCCCCACTAGGTTTGGTGTTGGACTTCATCTTCTCCATTGACCTGATGCAAGCACAGCTCTGAGTTGGGTGGAGGGCAGGATGGAGAGGAGGGCTATCCCTGCACCTTCTCATGTGATGCTCGCCAACACCCACTGCCACCGCTGCCAGGAGGTAGTCTCTGGACCCCGCCCCTCCTCAACATTGCCCTTTTCCTACACTCTGAACCTGGGCCCAGTACAGCCCAGAAGAACAGGCCTGGAAGAGCTAGAGACCATTTGTACCAGACTGCGCCATGGGAGAGGTTTTCTGAGGACCTGAACTTCATGTTCCCAAGATTGGGTCTGTCCCAGAGAAAGTGGGGCAGCAGGTCACGCAAGGCCCTAGGACATGGGATTTGTTACTGCAGTGAGCTGTCCCTGGCCCCGTGTGGCTGTGGTCCTCCTGGTCCCCTGTTGTGACTGGCTGGCCGCTCCCACCCTTACTAGGCAAACTGCCCACACAAGCCTGCCCTGTGTGGCCAGAAGAATGGGGTAAGTCAACCCCAGCCCAGAGATGTTCTCCACTCCTCCTGCTCCTCCCCCAAGTGACCCTCCAGGGACTGCCAGGGGAGAGGTAGAGAGCGGAACAGATGGCACGGCTGCCCAGACCATGTGCTGTAGCCAGAGAAATAAAAATAATCTCGGGCTTGACTCCCAGACCCTGGCCTGGAGGCTTCTAGCTCTCTCGGCCCCACCCAAATAGCCACCAGATGTCCTGCTCAGGACAACCAGGCCCAAAGAACACGCTACCCCAAGGCCCACAGGTGTTGGCCATGGAAGAAATTCCAGAAGAATCAGGAA